AGAAGCAATTTGGACTTAAACAGACTTTGCTTATTCACCAAGCGACAATCCATGAAGGTCGCAAAGATTACGCATGCGACAAGTGCGAGGGGAAATTTGGACAAAAATGTACTTTACTTTTGCATCAAAGGACAATCCATGAAGGTCGTAAAGATTTCGCATGTGACGAGTGCGGAAGAAAATTCGGACGAAATTCGAATTTGTTACAGCATTACAGGACAGTCCACGAAGGCCGCAAAGATTACGCATGCGACTATTGCGAGAGGAAATTCGGTAACAGATCGAATTTGCTCATCCATGAAAAGACAATACACGAGGGTCGAAAAGATTTCACATGTAACAAGTGCGAGAAAAAATTTGGACGAAAATCAAGTCTGATCTGCCATGAAATAATAGTACACGACAGTCGCAAAGTTTTTACATGTGACAATCGCGAAAAGAAATTTGGACAAAAATCGATTTTGCTCTCACACCAAACGATGATCACTGAAGGTAGGAAGAATTTCGTATGCGACAAATGCGAGAAAAAATTTAGACATAAATCGGATTTGATCAGACACCAAAAGATAGTCCATGAAGGTCGCAAAGATTTCGAATGCGATAAGTGCGGAAAGAAATTCGGGATGAAATATAATTTGTTCATGCACCAAAAAGCAGTACATGATGGTTGTAAAGATTTTATTTGTGACAATTGTGGGCAGAAATTTGGACACAAATGGAGTTTACTCCATCACCATAAAATAGTACACGATGATCGGAAAGATTATGCATGCGATAAATGTGAGAAGAAATTTGGACTTAAACGGACTTTGCTTATTCACCAAGCGACAGTCCATGAAGGTCGCAAAGGTTAAGGATGCCTCAGTGGCGGGTACAAATGATTGACAAAAGATACAATTTTAAGTATGTACAGGTACTTATACAGACGTTTTTCTATTCAATAAAAGTTGGGCCAAAATAATTGTGTTTTACCTGAACTTCGCGTACCATCAATTATCATTATACTTTTGTTCACTTTTACGGCGGTGTTTCATTTTTGGCTATTCGGTTACCTTCAAGTGTTGATGAAACGGTCAGCTCATGTCTTGTTAGGAGCTGTGAATGGAGTGATTTTTTAGTTAGGTATTGGATTTATAATAAATCAAAGTAATAATAGCAATACATTTTCGCTGGAAAAGCCAACTTGAAACCCATTTAACAATTTAATGAAGAAAACTAAAAAATTTTTTCTACACTTCTTTAAAATTAGTAAAAACTCTCATAATTGCTTTCTTTTTATAATAGTTGAGCTAATGCCCTTTGAAAGTTTGCATGGAAGACGGTACTTTTTCCAGTGCAGTTGAAATTTTACATTTCCAAAAAATCTAGCTTGGACTTCTTATACTTTTTCTGCAGTGACGATTTTTCAAAAGGTGTAATCTGCGCAACTATCATTATTGCACGGAAACTTTTACACTTTCAGATTTTCAGTGAATGTTTTGGATGATGATTGAAATTGCATAAATTAATAATTTACGATAAAAAAAGAAAATTTATCAAAAAAAGTGTCGATTCCCCGCAAAACGGTCTATGTACCAGAGTATTAGAAGATATTGGTAATAATGCGTGTAGTGAGCGAGAAAAATCGATTTTGAGTTCGGAGCAGGTCACGGAGGAGAAAAGTTGCATGTTTATCCCGCTGGACAATGAATTTTGTAGTAACTCATGACAATTTTAGAGTTGAGGATGATGGTAGAACTTCGTTGAATGAAAAGATCTAGTGCGACAACAAAACACGTAATGGCGTACTTTTGACCGTTCTATGGTAGCACATTGAACCATTGTTTCTGAAGCCCTAATTAAAATTGGAGCTTTTTCGACTATGGAAAATTACCCAACTGAATTTTTTCCAATGATGCGTGGCGCTTAAGAGCGATAATACCGAGGTCTAGAATCGTCGATTTTACAACTACCTTCCAATAGGCGTATTATATTTGCATATTTCAAACGCGAAGAGCCGCGTCAGATCGACGAGCTTCTCGATTATTCATACCGATCTGTATAAATATAGGCCTATTACGCGTTCGCGCCTGTAACGATCGTGCCTGCTATTATTATGCAGCGCCGTAAGACACGACTCTCATTAAGCATAATTAGCTTAGCGACAATATATTTGCGCTCGACTGCCTCGATTAATTACAGGATCGGACGATTAAAACGTGTGTCGGGGCATATATTATAAACAATAACGCGCGCGAGGCCTATATATATATATATATACGAGGGATCATCGTGCGTCGCGATCGGGTCTCGCTCGATCTTGCCGTTGTCGCCGATATGCGGTCCCCGCGCAAAGGGGGGCCAAAGTCTCATGCAGCCGAGCGCACGAGAGATAGATCGCGCGCGCGTATAGTCGTTAAAAGGACCTCGGCTTTCCTCTCTCGCGCTCTCTTTGGCATTCTCATCTCGCGAAATAAAGCCGCTCCGTTGCGTCAGCCACGCGCTCGCGCGTATAATAATAACATAAAAAAAAAAAAAACACTGGTTCGTATGTTTATATGCGATCAGCGACCTGCGCCAGCTCTCTTACGCGCGCTCGATCTAGCCTTTTTCAAACGCGGCTATTATGTTGCCTGCGTTGGAGCAGCTCGACCGGTATGCGCGTACATATACATATAATATAACGCGAGAGCCGATCGGTTAGATGATGCAAAGATTCTGGCAATTGCCAATACAAATCGACGAATTTGGAGTCGATTCCCTCGCGTTACGATCGGGCTCCGCGAGCCCACGAAGGTGGTTTTCCACGCGCTGCGTGAAATGAAAAAGACTCGCGCGGCAAAGCTATATAATAACTTACTCGCTGTTACGCGCGCGTACACACCCACCCGGGCGAGTATTAAACGCGCTCGATTACGAGTGCAGATCAATGAGGCAGATTAAACAGCCCCGAGGGCTTTGATCTTGATCGCGATCAATCGAGACTGTAACCTGCGCCTTTTCGAGGAAACGACCGCGACGGGAATCGAGGGCGGAAAATTCATTTAATTCACGTTTTCCGTGTTTCGTTTTCATTTTATAAATGGTGAATTTGCGCTTGATCCATTTTTGGAATCATTCGAGTTATAATGACTGCAATTTTTTCTTTCTTTATGAATAAACTCAGGTAGCTTATCTTATTCTTAGCTTTTTCGTCAATGAAAGTGACAAATACCGCTTAATCCGTTAGTCAATTTGTTTACCAAGAAAACGCTGTTGACGAATACACTCATTGGTTGGCACCACGCAATCGAATTCGTGAAAATACTAACGAAAGTAAATTTCTTAGCCATATATGTAAATTCATATGAACGCGTATTAAATTTAAAACAAAATTGTTACAAGTTATTTTGTTCAAAACGATAAATCTAAATTACCGGTACTCGTAAAGTTAAGAATCGGCGAGTCAACAAAAGAAGATTCTACATCAAGGTAAACAGTCCGCAGAACAAAAACATCGATTCGATTTATAGGTCAGTAAATATAGGTCAGTGCAAAATCTCTGCGCTATTTGCAGAAAACTCATTTCCATATGAATCTATGAAGAAGACATGCAATCAAAGGTGTTTATTGCATCAAGCTCTTGCCGTGGGTTGGTCTTGTGCTCATTAAAGCGCTTCGTTTTTACACCAATTAATTGCAAATCGTTCCGTTTTCCGGACAAAGCGATTCGCATTGAGTCATCTACTAATGTTCTCATATCATCGTTACAGTGCTTTAGAGTTACACGGTAAAAATGGAAGAATTTTTAATCATTATCGAAGAAGTATTAAACGCTTCATTACTTGAGGAAAAATCATTTATTTTATAAATAGGCTTATGTAAAAATATATATACTTATGATAAAAGCTTACCACACGTTCAACAAGGACAGTCAAAAAATATGTAAGTTATGACTCTGAAAAAGTATAAAAATGCACTAGAAAATGCAGTAACAATTATTAGACAATTTTCATACATAATCTATAACTACTCCCAAATCACACATCACTTTTGCAGCACTTCATTAAAAGTTATATAAAAATCTTTAAGCAATACATGATTTACATCCTTTTTATTGAGGATGGAATTTTTTCTGTGGATCCTTTGCCATGTCATAAAGTAAGTCGCATGGCTTGAATGGTTCACCATAAGAGTTCATGAACTCTTCCATTTTGCGAACTAATTTATGAGCTCCGTAGTAATCGACCCAGCGGAAAGGTCCTCCAGTAAATGGTGGGAATCCAAGTCCGAATACTGCACCAATATCACCTTCCAACTGAAAAATTAACATTTAGTTATAACTAATATGTTTAATTTACTTATGTAATTATGCATACTGGGTTGATTAAATTGTATAATAATAATTGATACATTTTTAACAAAATTGAACTTAAACTCGAAAAAACTATTCAAACCAATAACGAACAATATTCTCACGCATTAAATCAATCAAAAAATTTATTTGAACACGAATATTAAAAAATGTCATTAAAAAAAAAACGTTTCAGTATGGATGTTAAAAAAATTTCGTTTCATCAAAAAAATCTCTCTAAAATCCTTAAACACACTTACAGGATTGGCAAGTATTTTTTCTTGTAAACATAAAACGGCTTCATTGACAAATCGAGATACCATTCTCAATTGTCTGTCTTCGTCAGAAGTACTGCCAAGAGGTTGAAGACTGTACTTCTTAATAATATCAAGGGCACCTGGGTTCATATCTCTGTGTTTTGAGCCAGTTTCGTATACGAAAATACCTTTGCCTGATTTACGACCTGAAAACGAACAATTTAAATCAGAATCAAATGTATTCAGTAAAAACAAAAAACAGAATGATTTTCTTGTGTAAGAATCTAGTGTATTTACCCAGGAAACCAGCTTTCACCATATCAACTAAGATGTTAGGATCGCCGCCTTTGAAACGGTCACCGAGAGCTTTAACCAGATCAACGCTAATGTGTGAACCAACGTCGATACCAACTTCATCGGACAATGTAGCAGCGCCAACAGGGAATCCAAAATCTTTCGTCAGTTTATCTAAATCGTAGGGATCTACTCCTTCCTGCATCAACCTCACACCTTCGGTTATCATGGCAGATAAAATTCTTGTCGTGTAAAATCCTGGTCCATCACCTACGGTAATGACAACCTTTCCTTGTTTTAAACCGACATCTACAGCTGATTTAATTGTTTCCTCAGAAGTTCCCTTGTGGGTAATAATTTCCAGTAACTGCATTTTGTCAACAGGAGAGAAGTAATGCATTCCAATCAGCTAAAATGGGCAAAATTAGTTTTAGTAAATGTTTTGCTAAACGATATTATTTATATGTACTATAAAAATATATTACTTTATCTGGTCTGCCCACACCAGCTGCAATCTTTGTGATGGGAATAGCAGAGGTGTTGGTGGCTACTATGCAATGTTCTGGAGTACTCGCTTCAATTTCTTTAATGACTTTGTGTTTAATTCCAATATCCTCAAATACTGCTTCAATGACAAGATCAGCATTTTTAAATTGATCATACGCCAAAGTTGGAGTTAGATTTGCCATAAATTTTCCTTTTTGTAAACTAAAGCAGAACGATTATGAAATTTCACAGAGTCTACATTACTATAGAGTATTCTATCGATCCTTACCCACTGATACGTTTTCTCTTAACAGCATTGTTCAATCCAGTTTGTATTTGAGCAACACCTCTATTTAAGCCAGCACTATTGGTGTCTTTGAGTATGACATTGTAGCCCTTATCAACACTGACATGAGCAATTCCAGCACCCATGAGACCAGCACCCACAACTGCGACAGTCCTGTTCAAGAACAATTATTTAATTAAATTTTTACTACTTTTATACTTTTACATTCTGCAAAAGTATATGCGATCAAACTTACTTAGCTGGTGTTTTTGGATCACCAAATCGATTCTTTTTACATTGAGTTTGCCCAAAGAATAAACTGATAAGACCTTTACTTTGAGGAGTCATAGCCAATTCACTGAAAGCCTTAGCTTCTGCCTCCATTCCAACTGTGCGACCTTTATCCAATCCTGTTCGAATAACTTCAAGAATCTTCAATGGAGCTGGATATAAGCCATTAGTTTGTTTCATAACTTGGGCCTTAGCTTTTTTGAATATTTGATCTTTAACAAACTCAATAGACAATGCATAATTGGTCACTTTCTCTACAACAGATTTTGGACTTCTATCAATTTTCACTTTTCCATTGGCAATGTCTTTTGCAACTTTTATAGCTGTTGATTCCAAATATTGCTGAGTACTGAAAATAAAATGTAAGTAAATTTTTTAAATTATAAGTCACAAAAATTCTTAATTGATACTTCATCAAATAAAAATTATAGTAATAATAATTATCTCAGTACTTTTCATCTGCTGATGCCAATCCTGGTCCAAGTCGGTTAACTAAAAGGTCAACCAAACCGAATTTCTTAGCTTTATCAGCTTTGACAGTTCTACCAGTTAAGGGCATATCTAGTGCGTTAGGTAGAGCAATCAATTTTGGTAATCTTTGAGTTCCTCCAGCACCAGGTAGAAGGCCAAGCATAACTTCTGGAAGACCTAATCCAGTCTTGTCATCTTTAACAGCAATCCTGTAATGACAGGCCAATGCAACCTATGAAGAATAAAAATATTTTTTATATTCAATTTAATAAGTCAATAATATTAAATCAAAAAATGTGTGTTTACTTCAAGACCGCCTCCTAAGCAACTTCCTTGTATGGCTGCTACAATGGGTTTTGGACTTGCTTCGATTTTGTTCAAAATTTCTTGTCCTTCTTTGGATATTTTGTACACACTTTGTTCATCTTTGCAGCTTTGCAGCATAGAAATATCTGCACCGGCAATGAAACAATTCTTTTTTCCACTGATTAAAACTGCAGATCTAACAGAAGGATTGCTATGAATGCTTGTTAAAATAGTATCGATTTCTTGCATTACTTCAGTATTTAATGTGTTCATCTGTAAATAAATTCATTCATGAAAATAAATGTGATGAAATAATCAGGTACGACTACTGATGACTTATATAAATTCATATTCAAGAAATTTTAAGCACTGACCTTGACTCCTGGGGAGTCCAAAGTAATAACAGCTACATCTTCAACAACTTTGTATGAAAAATGTTTATTCTTCGATTCTGTAGCCAGAGTACGTAATGGCTGATGGAGAGCTGAAACATTTATCAGAAATACAAACTTGAAGAGTTGATCATTTTAAAATTATCTATATAGAGTGGGTTAGGTAACAGTCTCATTCTTCAAAAATGCTGAATAGACAGATATTTTGATAAACAAAAATTGCCACGAATTTCCTAATTTTTTTAATAACGTCAAGTTCAAGTCGGAAGTTTTAGGGATCCACTGTAATTTCAATTTTTCTACTTTTTTTTCCATGTTTTGTCTAAAGTTGAAATACCATTCAGAGATAAAAATCGCGAGCATTCGCAAAGTCTGCGAGACTCAACAGATTAGCTATAAAAAGCCATTATAAGGTCACGAAGCTTGAAATAATGCAATAAATTGGAAAGATTTGCAAGTGCACAGTAGTGCGAAAGCAATTCGATAGTTTCCAAGGGATAACAAATGAAGCATCTTGGCCAAAAAAAAAAAAAAAACTCGATCGCATCGCGATCTGCCTCGAGAGGCATGACTCGGCATGTTGTCAATCAGACGCGAATTAAGGCCAGGATGAGATGAAGAAAAAAATAGGCATATGTCTCGTGCTCGCGCGATCTCCGCACAGTCGACAATGCCAGAAAAGAGAAAATAGTCGCGAGTGGAGAAAAACGAATGGAAAATTGCGTTACCTGCTCGGGCGACGAAGCTGGCATTGTTGCGTGAAAAACGCGTGAGCGCGCCGCAGAGCCGGGAACTCGCCATGATTATCTATCTACCTCGATTGATTGTATTTTTTTCGCGAAAAAATTTCGTGTGTCTGTCTCGCAGCCTCGAGACGCGACGATTACGCTCGCTGTGATATATGTACTACTATACGCCTGCTGCCTCGTACCGAGAGCTGTTTCGCGGCCTCTTATGTATTATATTCGCACACGACGATGCGCGCGGTGGCCAAGCAGCAGCAGCAGCCTCCATATATGAGCGCGATTATATATATAGGTATATATATCGCTATAAAGTCTATTGCTGACTACATACGGCGTTTCATATATGATCATTATTATTTCGGGTCGCGGCAAGTTTTAGAGTCCAGTGACTCTCATCAGCGCATGTTTATATGTATTGGTGCGGTTGCAAAAATTTGCTCGCAGCACAATTCGGAGCGCATGCGTCGGTTTCGTTATCGCGTGTGTATTCAACTCCGCGAGTTCCGACTTTCCGAGTTCGGCTTTTCAATGATCCGATTCGATTTTTCACTTTATTCGGATGTTCTCGTTCGAACTCTGACTTTTGCTTTGTCCTATCAAGAGAATGAAAAAAAATTTATAAAGCTTTGGATAGACAGCTTTTGAACTTGTAGTTTCGTATTTTTGATTCCGAATTCACGTATTTTGCAGTGTCATTCGACTTTCTAAAGTATCTTGGACTACAAATTATTTCAATTTAGCATCGAATGATGTATTAACATAAACATTTTCATTATCTGTTGGAAGAAATTTCGACGCTTCAAATTTTTTAATACCATTTTTCCTAATTTTATTATGGTTGTTTATTTCATACATCAGAAATAAGTTAAAATTTGTAATTACTCATTAATTATTGTAGAAAGATTTCGATAACAATTCCATTAATGCTTTGTGTTACATTACACTTTGAATGAGGATCGCAAATCAGCTGTGCAGCGTCACATTTAAAGGGATATAATTACGGCTAACCTTATATTATATACTGTTACCCTGTCTTGACTTAGTCGGTCTACAGTTCGATGCGAGCCGCGTATACCTAAGCAAAGACAGGTAACGTCACAATATAGATAAAACAATGTTTATTTAAACGTCAGTGTGCTTGAAGAGCCTATTTGCTACAATTTTTACTCAGATAACGTCGATTATATTAAGAACAATCATGATATTTTGCTCCAGAGTTCAGTTTATTCAATGAAATGATTCTGCAGACAGCGAGTGTCACCGAAAGTTTCGTTGGAGCCAAATTGTCATAATCGTCAATTTTAAAACATCTACGATGTAGCTCAACATTAAAACAGCTAGATTTTATGATGTGATTCAAAATTCGTAAAAAAATTGTTTTATATCAGAATCATAAATTGATTGTACAGTGATTCAAACATATCAGTTTTCAAAATGTTAAGTATTAGATATCCTGCTAAATATCATCTCATAAGGGTTTTATGTATGATAGGGGCCACTTTATTCTTATGTGAATACTTGTTGTATTACATTGTTCTTATACATGTAAGTTGCAGTTAAAATTTTTATTTCTTTACGAAACTACCCTTAAGTAAGGTTTAAGATTTTTTTTAACGATTTTTTCTGTACTGTTTAGTGTAAATGGCCAATTTTAGATCCAAATAAAATTGACCCTGCTATTCCTTCAACTAAAGCTGAAGAAAAACCTGTTCATGCTATGTTTTTAGCTGATACTCACCTTTTAGGTTCAAGAAATGGACACTGGTTTGACAAACTAAGAAGGTAGAATTTTTAAGATTCTCTCGTTATGATATCCTTCTAATTAAATTTTGATTATTTGTTAAAATAATTTTTCTACTGATGATTATTTACAGAGAATGGCAAATGCATCGTGCTTTTCAAACAGCAATGACTATTCATAATCCAGATATAGTATTCATACTAGGTATGTGAGATTTAAGGATTCAAAAGAAAAGAATTAAAATTAATGCTTTCTAATCATTTCTTAGGAGATGTGTTTGATGAAGGACAATGGTGCAGTGCAGATGAATTTGAAGGATATATTGCCAGGTTTTATTCTTTGTTCTCTGTTCCCAAAAATACTCATTTATATGTAGTCGCTGGAAACCATGATATGGGTTTCCATTATGGTAAAAAATAGTTTTTAATTTATACGTTTCAAATTGTTCTTATAATCATGTCAAATATAAGGTTTCCATTAAATTTTATTGTAGTCATAACACCATATCTAAGTCAAAGATTCATAAATGGTATGAATTCTCCAAGCGTTAAAAGAGTGAGTATACGAGGTAATCATTTTATAATGATAAACAGTATGGCATTGGAAGGAGACGGATGCTTTTTATGTCGACCAACAGAAGTGGCTGTAAATAAAATAAGTAGTATGTATATTTATACTGATTATATTTAAATATATCAATTTTCAGTAGTTTATTAAAAAAAAATTTCTGAAATAGAACATTTAAAGTGTGCCAAAGGTATTGGTAATGACTGCCATAAAAATAATTTTATCAAAAGATACAGTAGACCAATATTATTACAGGTCAGTATTAAAACTTCAAATAAATTAAATATTAAAACATGTATTTTAACAAATTTTTGTGTAGCATTATCCATTGTATCGAGAGTCTGATCAATTATGTGATGAACTGGATGAAGCACCAGCAGAAATAAAATCAATCAAATTTCGAGAGCGTTGGGAATGTTTATCAAAAGAAGCTTCAGATCAGGTCATTTAAATAAAAATATTATTTCAGCTTATACTTCTAAAACATTGTAATAATCATAAAATATTTTACAGCTTTTAGATATTTTAAATCCTCGTTTAGTTGTTGACGGTCACACACATCATGGTTGCAGAAAAATCCATAGAGAACATATTTTGGAAATGACTCTGTCATCATTCAGTTGGAGAAATAAGGATAATCCTGCTTTTTTATTGGTTTGTTATTGTTCTGAATACTTCATTAAATAACAGTAACAAAAAATAATGATTCAATTGTATCTTTTTAGGGTGTCTTTACTCCAAATAATTATAGCCTATCAAAATGTTATATGCCTGTAGAATCAGTTGTGATCGGTATTTACATAATCAGTGGAATTTGTATTATTATATATTTGGTACTTTCGTTGAAACTTAACATGAAAAGGATTCATTTAAGAATGCTTCATTTTCATTGAATAAAATTATCTGTAGTTTTTTCAAATGTGTTCAAAATATTACTTTTAAATTAAAGAGACAATCTGAAGTGAATTTGCATACAAGTATGCTCTATGAATTGTATTGATAACAATGTACATACATACTTAGGTATTATTTAAGTTTGTAAGCAATGACTTTTTTATGTTGGTTTAATCTTAAAACGATATAATCAATTTAGATGAATGAATTATTTATAATGAAGATTTACTTCACTGACCCTTTTCAAAAAATTTATCACCCTAATAATTTGATAACAAAGTAATCGGAAAAACTTAAAATATCTAATGTTTCATGAAAAATACTGATTGAACTGTTAGAAATAATTTGCTTTATTTATAAATCCTAATACTAATAATTGTATAAAATTATACAATTTAATATCTATAAAATATTCTAAGAGATGTCTTTTTATTTACACGCTGTCGCATATTATGTTGATGGTGTGGTATAAAAATGATGGTTCGACTTTGATTTGTACACACATGTTTGTAGTTAATTTACATTTTTAACATTTATAAACATTTAATTAACTTAGGATCAGTGTTCCTAAAAAGACCTTAATTATTAATTAATTAAATTGTTAAAGAGCAGAAAATTTGGTTCACAAAGATCGAAATGTAAAAAAAAGTAAGTTACTGATCTTACAATATGTATGAATAAGTAATTCTGATCTTAAAATTATTGAGATAAATTAAATTTGTGATTCTAACTGGCAATCATATCAAATGAAAAGTAGTTATGACGGAAACAAAGAAATTTATCAATACCATTTTGGCAAAAGAGGTATCACTGTCTAACAAAGTTATTTCGGATAACTAATCTATTTTAACTGATGCATAAATTTTTCTAATAAACATGTAGGAAGCATAGAAACCAATGGTTCCAGTTAATAACCAAAATGTAATAACCATCAGGGCTGTGTAACCGAAATACATCAAAGTAGGAACCAGCTCTGTTATTTCTAATTTTGTTAAGAAATAAAATATTGAATATGCCTGCAAGTATACAGCTGATCCTCCACTGACAATGAAACTTCTCCACCACCATCTATAATCCTGAAATAAAAAATTGTTTAAAATGATTTGTGAATTCATCAAAGCAATTTCAAAGACTTTTGAGATACTTACTTCTCCACATAACTGGAAATAAACCATAACAATAGAAATTTGAGAACAAGATATTACTAAGATGATAAAAACTAGGAACAAAAAGCCAAAAAGGTAGTAAAATTGGTTTTCCCAAAATGCAGTCAAAATGAAAAACAATTCAATAAAAACTGCTCCAAAAGGTAATATACCTGCCATCAGAGTACTAAAAACAGAAGGTTCTTTTTAAGATATAGTTAATAAATAGTAAAAAAAATGAATGAACTCTCAAACTTACCACAATGCAGGATTCATGTACCATAATTGGTCAGGGATTTGTCTTGGTATCTGATTAGTTCTAACAGGATGAGTATAAGGTTGTTTACGATAGCCAAAGTAGTAACCCAAATAAACTAATGGTAACGAAGCACCAAGCCAAAGGTAAAGCAAAGAAAGCATTGTTTCAAAAGGAACTGCACCTGAACTGTGCTTTCCCCAAATGAAAAAATTAAGGAAAAAACATGTTCCAAATACTATGCCAGGATATAAAGTTGCAGTCTGTAAATTTCATGAAACATATAAATGCTGAGAATACTGTTCAAATGATTTGAAAAAATAGTGTATGAAAAAAACATTTACCAGAAAAGCTGCTTTTTTCCACTCTTTTCCTCGCATTGTCTTATATAATCTTGCTGAAAGGTACCCACCTACTAGTCCATAAATAATGAAAAAACAAATCACACCAGATCCTAGAGCTCCTCTACTAGCTGGTGAAAGCATTCCAAGCATGGCTATAACTATAAGATTTATCAAATCATAATGAGTTTCCTATCAGAATATTTATTAATGCAGTAAATTATTCTACTTACATATAGTCATTAATGTCATAAAAAATATTTGAATGCCACTACCAATAACAGCAGCAAAAAGACGAGTGTTAGTAGGAGGTCTAAATACATCTCCATGGACAAGTTTCCACCCAGTTTCTTCAATAGTTTCATCTAATCCTGCAAGACTATCACTATCACCCGCATTGTACCTTGCTATGTCTCTTCTTAATGTTCTTATCATAATCATAGATATAATTCCTAGAAAATAATTTTATATTTTATACTTTACTATAAGAATAATATAGTGCATAATATTTAAAGCATTAACTTACCAGACAAGAAACATATAACTACCATTGAGTTGATTATAGAAAACCAATGAATTTCTACATAATTCATTCCAAGATAAATATCCCATCTACTAGCCCAACTAATATCAGATTCTTTCCATTCAACAGAATAGAAAAATAGAATTTTAGTTCCTTTTGGATTGACATATTGTGGACTAGCTTGTGGTGGAATTTTACAAGTACCGCCATCATGGCCTACTTGGTTATAATCAACTGACAAAGCTTCTACTTCAAAACCAACTACTCTAAATTCATTTCTAGAAAACAATAATGCAGTAATGAGAAAATGTAGAAAATTCAAATTTTGACATGTTTGTATTTTAGCAATTTGACAAACTTACTCTCCATGCTTATGGTAGGTCAATTTCAGTTTCAAATAATTGTTAATATACACTCTATTTTTCTCATCAATACCACCCAAATAATAACCAGGATATACAATAGTATCTCCATTATTAATTTTTTTAGTTGCTGCTGGCAAATTGTCAATCAACCTTTAACAGAAGAAAAATATTTTATATTGATTGTATTTTCCACTTACCCTTAAACAAAAGCTTTAGATATCTTACAAATGGACAATGTAAGCATGTTGAATTCGTTCCATGACCAGTGAAGAATATTCTTCTTTCCATGTCATTGGTTCTGTTGGTTTATGACAAAGGAGTTTGCAAGATATATCTTGTGCCATTGCAACTTCATAAGGCGTATTGACAATTCTGAAATATTTCAATAAGCATGAAAATTATGTTTTTACTAAAAGATACAAAATTTGAAAAACTTACCTATCCCCTCTTAAAATTTCTCCTAAATTTTCAGACTTATAAAATAAGGTACCATTTTTTGGTAAACAAAAAGGTAGTGAATAATATTCATAAGGTAGTTGTGTATGAGTACTAGTCATTTTGACAGCTTTCACATCAATTTTCTGGCCTTTTTTGAATTCTACAGGTGCAACTCCTGGGACATAAAATGATTGAACCTCGATGAAGAGCAATACCAAGGCCGAAGCAGCCCATTTCCATTTTAGTTTATTCTGCAAGAATAAATGACTCGTTATAGTATATACTTGCTAATTTGGAATGTGCACCAATAACAATGGTACATAAAAGTTGATAGCACAACGAGTGCATAAATCAGCAGAATGTATGTCTTACCATTTTGTCAGACGTATTTACTTGTATGTAAGTTGCGCCACGCTGACAATTTCTTATTATAATATCGACACTCCTTTTTTTTTCACTAGGATAAAACGAGTATCACAATAAGCTATTCCCGAGTCTGATGGATCAAAGTCGCATTTTGAGGCTTTCTATCATTACTATTTGCACAGCTTCTATCGCTGAAACGCAGTCATCGATTATAACCAAGCACTCGCGATATATAATACAGGAATACAAACAAACGATATGATGTACACATATATGTATGCATATATTTATGGGAAATAATTGCGTCGCTGATTCGACCAGTTGCCACCCTCGTGCACTGCCGTGTGTGTGCAGCACGCGCGATATATGGTACACGAAACTCGGAAAGTGCCAATGAGACACTTATTTAGTTTTCACTTGCTGCCTAGATATATACATATGTATATATGACACAAGCGGTCCTATACTAGCAGCTATACATACGTACAATACCCACACATGTATACATAAGTATATCAGAAGTTTATTATGTGCATACTGCTGGGATCCTCGTGCGCGCCTTAGCTACACTGGCTATATGTACGATCCTGGGCTCTGATAATAAAAATATCGCTCTCGCTTATTACGGTATACAATCACCCACGTAGCACGTACATTTTTTTTCGGTGACGCTGATTTGCGCGTAGATTTCTCGTTTTTCTTTATTTGCTCCTCGCGTAGCGCACACATATATATAGCTTCGTATACAGGTACTTATTAATTCGCGTATTGATTAGTTCGAGATATTATAAACGGGTAGGGGATCAGGACTAACCCGATGGAAATTGTTTGACATCGTCTGTCTATGGATTCTTGATAGATTATTCTTATTAAAATAAAATGATTGAACTAATCTGATTGTATAGCAACGTTGTTATTCTCTTTTATGGAAACGTTTTTTCTCGATCTCGTACAGGGACTGCTTTTATTCAAATGAAAGTACAATAGTGGGTTGTAAAAAAATATTTACTAAGCGATTAAGATGATTATTTGTCAAGTTTTTATTTAAAAATGAAAAATTTAAGAATGATGCATCAAGAGTTCAGAGAAAGTTACAAGGTATCGTAAAAGTGCATTTGAATAACGCGCCATTCGAAATTTTGTCTGCTTTCAATCGCGAAGGGCATTTTTCACTATTGCTAAAATGACGAGGAAATATTGACGTTTAAAAATTATTCAATGTCTTACAAATCGAATTACTCTTCAATTAATACACAATTTCATCGTTAAAGCGGTGTGTCTGTCAACAACTGCAGTACTTATAGTGTGGGTGTACGATACAGAGGGTGCGCCACGAGCAAGCGTATATCTCTCCCGTCTGCGAGCTCCGAGACTCGGTAACAGTAACACCGAACACGTGCGGTATTAAATTCTGTTTTAATTGTAGCTCATCGCGATGTGTTTGTGATATTGAAATTTTGTGATCTTCTGCAAAAATGGTTCAGGTAAAGTAACAACAAGTGCACTAAGTTTCATTGTCGGCCGGGAGCAATGAAGCGCGGCGGCGCGGGGATCCGCGTCGGGCGAGTTTTTTGGTTGTTTTTTTTTCTTACTACAGAACATCCATTAGTAAATAGGAAAGATGGCAGCAGATTAATGCATTTTTTTTTCTGCACGCTCGTGTTCTTTGGCCGAAATCTGCGCGTCTGCAATGGTTTTCGGCCCGTTCAATGACATTTCCGAAAGATCGCAGAGTCCGTCGAGTAAATTTTTAGGTGCCGACACTCGGTATCGCCTCGAGCACGAGGTTTTATCGAGGGAAACATGCAGACCCCTATAAAAAAAAGCCGATCCACCCCTACTAAGAGTGTCTATACACGGATATATAGATATAGCGTACACCCGTATACTTTATAATATGTCGAAATATTTTTCTGAATCTTATTTGATGTCATTGAATGGTCTAAATTGTAATTTTCTTGTAGGTTACAATTGTCAAAAATCATTTCACTTAAATTTTTAGTTGTAAGGTTGTAAATTCGATTCCTAAAATTTTATAAAAAACTTTTGTTTTCTATTTTGACAGGCAATAGATGAGATGGAGCAGCGAGATCTGCCTCAGGCACTAAGCTTGCTTGGAGAGATGAATAAAAATGTTGAAGAAGTCAATGCATTAGTCGAGAATATGCTCAAGAGAGTAAAAAATGGAGAGATCACAACAGATAAAGGCCTTAACTTTTTAGAAATGAAATATCAAATGCTTTTATCTTACCTTATAAATTTAACTCACATTGTATTGAGAAAGTGCTCCGGAGAAAAAATTGAAGATCATCCATCAATTGATCGTTTAATTGAAATAAAAACAGTATTGGTAAAAATTAAGCCAATTGAACAAAATTTCAATAAACAGATTGAAAAATTCGTCAAAACAGCTGCCACAGGCACCAGAGATTCTGACGATCCCATTAACTTCAAACCTAATCCTAATGCTCTTATTGGAAAATTGGATGACTCTGATGAAGAATCAGAAAGTGATGATGAAATAAAGGAAGCAGGCCCCAAGCCTAAGAAATCTGGAATTTATGTTCCACCCAAGCTTGCTGCAGTTCACTATGGTATTTATAAAAAAGGATTTAAACAATAACAATTTTTTTTCAACAATTTTGCTTACTACTTTGTATGATATTTTTTTTAATAGATGGAGATGTATCTGCAGCTGATAAAACACGCAGAGCTGAAGAAAGAGCTAGAAGAAGAGCAGTATCTGGAACTGTACTGCAAGAACTGAAAGAAGAGTTTTTGGATGCTCCTATTGAAGATTCTGCAGACATAAGTGAAAAACAGTCCAGTTTTGGACGTGAAAATAAAAGAAAAATTGAATATGAAGAAACCTACATGACTCGTCTACCAGTTACAAAAGCAGAAAAGCATAGACAGCGACAGATGACTACACTTGGAACACTTGGAACTGAAATTACTAGTTTTGGAAGTGGTCCTTCAGGAAAGAAAAGGAAAGCTAAAGGAAAAGGAAAATCTAAAAAGAGTAAGTGCACCAAATTATAATTAAATAACAGAGGATAATAACTCTAAACATTATTTCTTTTAATTTTAGGTTTCAAAAAGAAGAGACACCATTAAATCCAAGCCGTCTCGAAAATAAGTTTGTGATACCTGATAAGAAAAAAGCCAATAACAATTGAAATACTACCTTGTGCTAATTAAATTATAGCATGGCAACATACCAATACAGGAGCACATTTCTTACCATCAAATGGATCAAATTAGTAAAATGGTAATAAAAATGGCATAGAGAATGATCAAATTTATTATCATCATTAACAGTCATATTTATCACAATTTTTGTTAACATTGTTATTGGAAAACGTTATCAGTATCACTTTTTATAAACTAAACTGCACTAGAATGTAATTACACAGTACTCATTTTTTGTTATTTAAAAAAGTGAGAATCAGTGTTGACCGGTAGTTTTATCTTTTTTGAGTCTAGTTTCAGTTGTACGGCTCTAAAAGTAAATCTTCTAAGCATGTATAGTATTTATTTCTTAGTATTTACCAACCGTAAACTAAAAATATTATTTATTTTGTTTCGTTTATTTGATAATATTATTGTATAAATTATTGTAATTTAGTTTTTATAAAAATAAATTGTTTTATTATTTAAAAAAAAAATACTTGGTCTGGCAACACTGATCATACAATCGAATTTAATGAGAATATGATGAAATAATTGAAGAGATAGTGGCTTTCTAAAAATGGAAAAATATTGCTAGCCAAATAATCGTCGGTCGTGAAAAGTCATGATTGAATTTTAAAATTCTTAAAATATTTTAAGTAGTGTTGATGATCAACGGCACTTCCTGAATTGTTACAATGCGTAAAAATCACAAGACATCTCAAAGCAAAATCGTTTAGGCTACGTCGAAAGTAAAAAAAAAACTCCACTAACCTTTGGGACTATTAAAATTTTTCCGATTAATGCATAAAAAAACTTATAACTTAATCATATGTCTTAGGATTTTCTCGCTGTTCTAGAATAATTATAATAGATTAGAATAAGCATTATAGTCATTTTCATTTTTATAAACCATTATTCAATGTTGAGGCTTTTCGAACTTTCACTGAGCTTGGGCTCAATAGTTTCATTTTCCACAAAAGAAACCTTTTGTTACTAAAAGAGTAACATTTTAAAGCTGAAATCTGAATGCATGCAACGTTCAGAAATTGAAATTCAAAATTGATGCAATAATTTTCTTATATAGTTGTTTTATGAACTGGTTTTCTTTCATTAAAGGAGGAAGAAAGCACGTAATGTTGAATTTAAAAAAGGGGGTCAAGTGGGAAAAGTTACTTCTATGTGAAAAAAAGTATAAAAATTATTTACAAAAAACTTTCGGCTCGTATTAATTTCTAAAATTGACAGGCACTGGATACTAGCATAAGCTTTAAGCTTTTCAGGGACCGTAATGCTGAATCCAGAAATCAGTAATCGATCTGAAATTTAGAATCAGCATTGTGATTCGTATAAATTTTCGGCGTAATTTTTGGCAACATTTCACTCATCGATTGTGTTAGTGAAGTAATTCGCAATACCTGCCAATTGTACATTATAAAATGCTTGCGCCAATTTTTTATCGGCTCGATCATTCATAGTGCTATATTTTTTACAAAGATGTTCATTGTTTGAGCCGATTGGCGAAGCACGACATTGCGTGCGCTTCTTTCTATCCGAATCTGTGACGAAGATTAAAATGTGATAAATTATTCTTATGCAATAGTATGACGAAAAATGTCTTTTTTCGCACATTTTTTAGTGCGCAAAAAGCGTTTTTGGACACTTGTGTGCGGTAAAATGCCTCATTTTGGACACGGGTGTGCGGTAAAACGCCTCATTTAAATGAAAGTATTTTTCGTCTCCTATTGCATAAAATTTTGTATGCAACACGTGCCCAGCTTTTTGCGCACAGTGTGCGGAAAAAACACCCACTCGTGCCGGCGTAGCCGGCACTCGTGTCTTTTTCCGCACACTCGTGCCCAAAAACGCCTTTTGGGCACTTGTTACATAAATAACTATTGAAATAATAATAGTTAAAAAATAATACAAAAAAAGAGGAGAAAAAGTAATAGTACTAACATTATAGCACAATTGCTGGGCATTAATTATTAGTGCTGGCAAGCCTAATGTCTTCAGCAAGACTCGTAGTTCCAATGAAGAAGATGAAATGATAGATGTCAAAAAATGATTTGACATTAACTGTTGAAAGCAAATGCATTTTTTACCTCTATTTAAACGTAATAGGATATCAAAATAAACCGACGTGTTTTTTAAACAAAAAATAAAGAGCTGCACTGAAGACGAGAGACTTTTTCGTTTTGTAAACAAAGAGAATGATTTGTTTGTTTGGATGTACGTATTTATCTGACATTTCACTTCAAATTTGGATGCTGGTGACTAATGAAATTCAATGTACGCACTATATACTCTCTCAAGAGAAATCTATGAGTCTAAATCAACTTTTATAAAAGACAGGGTTTCAAACAACTTAAATTAAAAATGATTTTATTAAGAGGTGCTTGGGTGATGAGTCTTAATCTAATGTTCAACGAGATAGATACTTTCGTTTTCATACTTTTGAATCGATGTATTTGAAAAAGGCATGAAAATTATCGACCTTGATTCGTGTTTAATAAAATATAACAACTGTGAAAGAGTACATATCTCAACAAAGCTAATTTTAAATCCAAATAGAAATTAATCATCATGAATCTCGATTCCATTTCTTCTGGCTATAATGAAATGGATGTTCAAAACTAAAAATCTTTTGTACTTGAAAAAAACTGGAAAATATTACATGTACTTGTGTCAAACATTTGATAACAAACGGAGAGTCGTGAGACCACATTTTTCAGTTTTCTTATTCCGATAATCAAACAAGATCTCAAGTTTCGGTGTAATCATTTTTATGTAAAAAATGAGTAGGCCGTATCATAATGCCCTTACTTTATACATTATAATTTGGCTATTCAACTGTAGGTCATTATTGTGATGTGAGAAATAAAAATTTCGACGGAATTTTGAAACACGATACGGCCATGCTACTAATTACTCACGAGTCAAAATTAGTCAGTCTAAAACATTGTAAACGTATTTAAAAGAAATGTTTGACAGTCGAAAATTTTCAAAGTTTGTGGATAAATTTCATTTTCGCCAAGTCATAAATATAAAAATGAAATTTCTTTTAAAACATGCACACCACGAACATTTATTGCCAATTTTGATAATTACGATGCCAATGATGGGATTTCATTTGAAGTCGTTATAAATTGTTATAATTTACCATATTGTTCGTTTATTTTAATTATTGATTGTCATAAATTATGTAGAAGGCTTCTCATTGACTGAATAAAATGTTTTGATGTCTACACGACCCTGGAGTGTGTTACTCAGTGTACCGCCCTACTCTAAAATTCTTTGATTTTTCACAAACACTATCGATATCTACGGATCTCTAGTGTATTTTTTGGAGGTTGTTTTTAAAATAAAAGATGCGTGCCGCGACTTGGCATTGAAGCGCGATACTGTGCTTTGACACATGGTTAAACTCGCAGATTAATGAGAATTACGTTCCGCGAGCGAGCTCGCGCTCACTCTGGCAAGTATGGCAGAGAGAACTGCGGCGTATACGCGAAAAAAAACAGAATTTTTTTCCTTTTGACGTGATAAGCTTTTTTGAAGACGTGCGTATTTGAATTAATGTAATAAATGTCCTATATACAAAAATGATACCTTAACAAATATTATGTTATTAGTATAAATAATTTAAAAAAATGACTGAAAAATTTGAATGCGTGATTAAAAAAATTTATCTATATTTAATAAAATTTTTACAATATGTACGAAAAACTTTCGTTACATTATATTGTAAGGTTCGCATCGATTTCGATCGAAACGACGGGGCAACTAGAATCACGAGTAAAATGTCAAAATTATATTGATTTATAAAATGTTGCCTCTTGGCTATCTGCATGCCTAGCGAGCCCGAGAGCTCGCCCGCTCGGTCGACCCACACAACTCGTCGATCTCTTTTTAACTATTCAACGCCGCTCCCCACGATCCTGTCCTGTCGCGCGCCGATCTTGTACGCGCGACGCTCCGGCCTCCACCTTCTCGAGGGTCGTCGCGAGCGAGACTCCGCGATCGCGCGCCAGGGTTGTGCACACTCAGATCTCCAGTACGGCGTCCCCGTCGACGACGGCCACGACACTCCCCAGTTTCGAATCGCCCCGGAAGTCGTACTGTCGTACTCGTTGACGCTTCTTCCAGCGAGATAGCACAAGCCCATCGTGTCGTGCTCCAGCGAAAGCTCGAACGGAGACGACGGAGGAAAATTCTCTGAAATCACGAGGAATATACTTATATGAGTAATAACGAACAGAGATTTCAACGATTTTTTTTTCTCCAAATTAATCGTTAAAAAAGTACTTTGCGGTGGTGTACGTTAGATTTCGATGAAAAAAATTACTGTGGTACTGGTACACGATCAATTTTTTATTCGTGTAATACATCGACGAGATCGACATTGAGAAAAATGAAGCTTTCTTGAGCTTTTTGGGTACGACCGAGTTTTTTCGTCATGTATAAAAAGATGAAAGTAGACGCACAATAAAGTGTGTTAAAATTTTTTTTCGTGTAACATATCGACGATTTATGCGTATATTTTTGTTCATCGCATCAAGGTCCTATTCATTACAATAAATCACGAGCTTGTTGTATTGTTCGAGCCAGCAATAATGAGACACCTGGAACGATCACGTACAAAAAAAGAACTATAATCCTCGTCTTTAAAGATTTTTTCTCGATATCGACTCGATATTGACTCGAACCCATTCATATGGATTTAAAGAGGACGAAATTTTCACGAAATCGAAAAAGATTCATCTCGATACGATCAAAATAGACGAAGATAGAAGCATTTGAGAATTGACAAAATTTCGATGAAAATTTTTGTTCACGATAATTTTGTTGAGTAGGGCGAATTGATTCGAATTTCAGATTGGTCAAGCTGCTTACCATGTTTATCGATCAAAGTCACGTCGTTTCGATGAACAAATGACCGGCAGCTTTCGATCCTCGAATCAACGACAACACCGACAATCTCGCTTTACTCTCCGACACTTAGTACAGCGCGAATCCTCGCTCGGGATCTCTCGGAATGAGGAAGTTACATTATCGCCATCCGCATCCAGCTCCCATCGAACTTGAAGTAAGCCAAAAAAACACCTCGCTGTCCGGTCGAAGCCACGAAGAGGTTAAAGTCCAAAAGACGCACACACGCCGAGACGATGTCCGTTCCAATGAACACATTCGGCATGTATACACGAGTTGAGGGCGGTTCTTGAAACCTCCATCGTGCTTTGCCGATGGAAATTTATCGGCGACGTAGAACAAACTTTTTCCGACCCAATTCCTGTCGTCGACGCGGCTGAACCCGGTACGGTGTTTATCGATGCTGCTCATCAGCTGCTCCTCGATCTCCGTACCGGGTGCAGCCGAACGCCGCTTGGTCACTGCGAAAAATACACAATGCAAGAGACAACAATTGAGGAACAATCAGGCAGCGATCGAGAGCTTCACTTCGTCTCGCGAGATTAAGACAAGTACACGTATGAGTTACTCGTCTGGCGATCGCGCCCGAATGACTTCGCAAGTGCCCCGCGTATTCACCGAAGAGCCAGATAACACCGAGAGTTGCGGTAACACCGATAACTCCTGATCTCGCAGCTCTGCCATAATTTTAATAGACAGCTGTGGATTTAATTAGAAAAAAAAATCATTGGCACACCATTCGAAATTCAAAAAATTAATGCACGAAATTTTATCGATTTCGTCCTGGTTTATATAGAGTAAACCTGCTAAGTACTCGATCACTTGAGAAAAAAATTTTTCACTTTTGCTCGGGCATAGAAATTAAGCATAAAATTAAAAAAAAAATGCTAGAAATATCTGGTGTTAGCAAATGCAATAACCTCTCGAACGAGTATACTGTTAAAAAATTCGACAAGAATCGAATGATTCTTACCAAATCCCAGTGATGGACCGAGAAGTGAAACCACTTCAAACGGCTTCTGATCGGTCAAGTTACTTTTGACTCGAGTCAAATTGGAATGAAGTGACATCTGCTATCAAAATAGCAACTTTTGCTTAATATAAAACAACCCAAATTTTTAAACACGCTTAAAAAATTGATGCACGTGAAGCGCGTCTGAAAGGTATTATTGATGAAAAAATGTATGAAAATTCGATCGTACTTAAAGACGGACTTCACCGCTAGGTGGTGAGTACCTGTACGACTGCAAATTTGCTAGTGGCAAAGTCAAAATAGTTGTATAAGTTAATTACGCCATAATGAGACCTCAGAAAGGTTTTACTCTTGGGCGCCTAAGTTAAAAAAGCCTTAGGGTCGCGTAAAGAATTATTTGATTCTATTTAACGGTATAAATTTTTCAAAAAAATGATTAAAGTTAAGGTAAGGCGAATTGTCTTGTTACCGATCACCCTATTGAACTAAGTATTAGTCACGTGAACTTAGAAATGGTTTTTATTATTTTAATTTTCGAGGACTGAAAGCATTATGATCATTTTGAAAAGTTTCGTGCTGCGCGATGTTATGTACTTTTATCGATGAATCATCGGGGAAGAGGGACAATGTCTCGTGTAAATGTGCAAAAATCTCAAACGCAGATCGAACGGATCTACGTTTGAGATAATTTCATGGTACTTTTGAAAAAATGCAACTAACAAAGCATCGACAATGAAAAACATCATCAGCTTATAATAATTTTTTTTTCAATATTAATTTATAATAACAAGTGATAAATAATGGGAAACCTATATGAAGCCCTTTCGATTAAAAAGGAAACATTGACGAACTCAACATTGCAGAAACACACACTAGCCTTAGCCTCAAGATCAATGAACTTTTCTTCGGGTTTTATTATGTCTTTCGATTGGTGCATACAGCCAATGCTGTTCGATTTTTTAACCGTTATTCCGAGCCGTCCGTAATGGCAAACCGTACAGAAAAAAAGTACGCTAATTTTTCGACGCTGCGCAACGTGAAGATGAAAAATCGGTTGACATTTTCGTATCAACGAAAAGAGTAACGAATTTTCATGCACCGCAGATTTTTAAAAATACTCGTTTCAGAACGATATTTATTTAGCCATTCAACTCGGGGGCAGAGAAAAAAAAATACAACGAGCTAAGTGAGTGAGGTGCTTCGAGCGCTCGACGCGCGTTGTGCGTACCTAGTACGCTGCTCGTGTGCATTAATATACGGGAGTCGAGAAAAACCAACTATAAAGTACAACGGTTGCGAGTGCGGCCAATATAAATAAAGTCCGGCCGCTCGTCGCTGTATATAGCTAGCACACACGCTCATTTACTCGCGGGGCAATGGCACACGCGCGAGCAGAAAAGAGGTGGTGGCAAACCGTCCGATAGTTTTTGAACGTTCGAAAAGCACCAACGATCGCTACAACGCGAATTATGACACGCGGATCTCAATGTGTTCGCGGTCGTACATCAGGCTCTGCATCTGATCTACTTATTTTCATTCCTATGTGCGAAACGTCCAACAAACTATGATTTTCCGTCCTTTTGTTCTTTCTTTCCAAAACTGTCTTCAAAAACTAGAGACTGTTTATCCTTCCACATATATATACGTATATATATGCAACTGCAAGCAGGCTGCAAGCTTTGCGCGCGTGTGTGCGCGCGCTACGCCTGCATTTTTGAACTCGTCGTTCGGGTGAAGACGAAGCTCCTGCGTATAACAGTGCATCGAGCCATTGACGATACATCCACAGCTGGTAAATGTATGCTGCATAGTCTATATATATGGGTCAGATTCAGAATTTTTCAAATAAACCTGCGGGCGAGGTTCACGGATTTTCCTGAAATTTTGGTATGTTATAGTACATGATAAAAAAGTGCCAAAACCAAAATTTTGGACCCCCTCCCCCCTCCTACCCCCCTCCTCCCCTGTAGACGTCCATTTTCTATCTATATTTTTTCTGAAGGCCTGAAGCTATTAAAAAATCTGAAAAAATTCATGAAGGTACTTTTCAACAATCCAAACAA